CACGGGTGCTGGCAGTGACAGGCTCTCAAAGACGCACTCCTGGGCCTGAGCTGTCATGAGCTGCTCCAGCATGGAGAGCGAGGCCGGCTTCATGTCCAGGCTCGGGGCATGGGAGAAGTTCTCCCTCAGGAGGCTGAAGGCCCCTGTGGACGGGACGCTCACAGCAGGACCACAGGGCTGCCTGGCCACCCCTCCCTCCCTTCAGCCCTGGTTTAGACAGCCCCTCTGCACCCCAAAGCTCTGACCCAGAGAAGGGGCTCTGCCACACACCAGGACCCAGAAGCAAGGGACATGCAGACGCATGCACCCCGCCTGCGGCAGTGGGCTAGAGTCTGGGCAGCCCTCACCAGCAGCCCTCTGAAAGGCCTCCACAGCACGGCTGGTGCCCTCGAGGCAGGAGCGGTCCTGGCGGGCCCCGATCTGTGTGTGGAGGGCCCCGATGTTGAAGAGCACACTGCCCTTCTCAAAGGCCAGGGACTGCTGCTCGGCTGGGACCCCTGTAAGCGAGTCATACCTGCAGGGTTGGGCAGGTGGGTAGAGTCCCCACAGCCACGAGCTTGGACTCTCAGAAATGCGGCTGGGGAGAGCCTTCTGGGAGGCCACTGCCTCCCTGGAGGATGGCTGCACCCCAGGGCACCTGCCCTGCCCACCCCTACCAGTGGAAGAGCAGCCCGAGGTTCCCAGCAGGGGCCACAAAGCGAGCATCCAGGAAGCAGAGCTGGTTGTAGTAGGCCGTGAGCAGCTCCAGGCCTGCCTCGCTCCGGCTGGGGGTCCGCATGGCCTGTGGGCAGGAGCCACTGACCCACTGCCCACGCCCCCAGCACACTGCCCTGGGAACCCCCTAGGACATCACAGCCCCACAGGAGCATCCCCAGTCTAGGGGTGGACGGGGCTATAGTGGGGCACATCTACCTTCCCTGGGGCTGTTGTGGCCACACATGCAACCCCAGGACAATGTGGAAGGGAACAGGGAGAGACTGTACCGGGGGTGGCAGGGGCTGGGGTGGGGGGAGAGGACAGCCATAGAGCAGCCATTCCCAAAGGGCCAGCCATGCCCCTGCAAGCCAGAGACATCCGCGCACCCTGGGTGAGTCTGTACAGGTGCACCTCGCTGTGCCTGTCCCACGCCCCCCTGCGGTGGGAACATCTCCGCTGAGCTCTGCCTTTCTGCTCCTGACTGAGCCGCAGGAGCGGGCAGACGGAAGGGGTGGCCACCCACCTGCCGCAGGTCCTCCAGCTCCCCGATTTCAGCCTCGTAGGAGGTGCTATCCTCTCCAAAGTGCCCCGAGATCAGCTCCTGATTGAGGAGTAGGCGCAGACCTTCCCTGGAGTTGCCCCCCGTGTGGGCAAAGACCCACAGTACAGGGGAGGCCACAGGCCTCTGAGGACGGGCTGAGGGCTGCAGGTGGCCCTCCCTCCGGCCCTGGGGCCCCCCCACTGCGGCTGTGGAGCCTGGAGGCTTAGGGCTCTTTCTGGTGGCATTCCCGTGTTAGCCCCCACGAGCAGTGGCTAGCTGCTCTGACAGGGAAGGATGCTAGGGCCCGAGTGAGGGACCTTTCCACCGGGCCTGCCTGGTAGTGGCAAGCCACCTCCCGGCAGCCAGGCTCAGGGGCCCCTGAGGACCCCGGGCAGCCCCCAGCCAACAGGACCCTCAAAGCAAGAGTCGGGGGACCCTGTAGCTACTGTGGTGCTTTCAGCAGGAGGGCCGGCTCTGCCACACCCACCCCAGCGTGGGATCGTCCCCCAAGCCCACCCAGTCGGAATCCCTCACCGCCTGGGCACGCTGGGCGGCCCCAGGGCCAGACCCTTCTTCCTCCGGGCCTGTTTTCTCATCTGTTCAGTGATAGGGCTGTACCGGGGAGCCCCCCAGCTCCCCAGGCCGGCACCTACCTTCAGGGGCGTGGCCCAGTCCAGCTCCCGGGTCTCCTTCAGCCCGAGGGGAATCATGGGCACAGGGACACCTTCGCTAGAGGCAGAGGCACTCAGCCCGGACTCTCAGGCTGGAGCTGGCCGCCCTGCGGCAAGGGGGGCCCCTCCCTGCTGCTCTGGCCCCTGCAGCACACCGCCCCTCTGACTCCAGGCACACCCTCATACACACGCACACACACTGGGCGCCCTGGACGGCTCCTCAGACATGCACACCCACGCACACATATGCACCTCTCGGGTGGGTCCACATCCACGCTGCTGTTGAGCTCCTGCAGCTCCTCCTTCAGCAGCTGCAGGCTGGAGTTGACATAGCTCAGCTCCAAGGCCACTGTCTCTCTGACCTGGGCATTGCTGGTGGCTCTGGGGGAGGTCAGGCTGAGGTGAAGCCCTGCAGGTGGACCATGCGCCCCTGGGCCTCACCACAGCCCCTGTGCCAGCGCCCACCCATGACATGCTGATGGGCCCTGCCTCCCGGGAGCCTGCACCAGCCATGGTCACCTGCTCACTCACTCCTCCCAGATGGGGTGAGAGCAGGCCCAGCCTGGCCACTGGCTCGCCCGCTGCCCAGCGTGCGCCTGGCTGGCAAGGGCCTCCAGGGCTAGCAGTCTGCTCCCTGCCCCGGCCCCACCCCACCCCGACTGGGGCTCACCTGTAGAGGTTCTCGGCACCTGTGCGCATTCGCAGCTCTTTGTTGATCTGCTGGTGAATCCGGGTCCTGCGGCTCTGCTGGCGGCTGCACTGTGTCTGTGCCAGGGGGTCACAGCCCTGCAGACAGGCCACAGGTCAGGGGCTGGGCTGTGCCTCTGTAAGCAGCTCACAAGTGTCAGGGGCTCTTGCCTGTGGGGAAGGGGACCGTCACCGTGGAGGTGGCCTGAGCTCCCCCAGAAGGGAGGAGTGGGGCTGGGAAGGCCCAGCAGGGGTGGAACAGTATGGGAGCCAGAGCACAGTGGATAATGCCAGGAAGGAGGCGAGGAGAGGCGGTCAGGCCAGGAAGGACATGGAAGATGGGGGACATGGCTGGGACGGGGGCCCCAGGAAGAGGCTAGGCTATTCTGTGGTGTTCCACACAGCTCTGAGTGGTGGCCAGCCAGGACAGGCAGCTGGCTCTGGGGGCCCGACGGGAGGCGGCCCGTTGCCCACCACACATTCCTCTGCACTTCTGAATTTCGTTCTGTAGCCCCATACCCACCCCAAGCCCCACAGTGACTCTAGCACAATCTGCGGGGTGGACAGGCGGATGGTGCACGTAGCCCAGGTCCTGTGAAGCACCAGCAGCATGGGCCTGCCCACTCTCTGTGGCACCCGGCCCACGCTGACCCTGGGCTGGGCAGCTGCCCAGGTGACTGCTTAGTTGTGGGGTCCCTTTGGGAAATGCCCAAACCACAGGACCAGGGCCACTCAGCTCACAGGCAGCAGGCCAGGCCTCCTGCCTGCCCACTGCCTATCTACTGCCTGCCTCAGCCTCAGTTCCTCACTATATGGGGCAATCCTGCCAGCCTGCCCAAGTCTCAGGGCCCCAGGCAGGAGAGCTGTGCAGCAGCTTAGAGCAGCAATGTGGGACTCTGCAGAGGGGGCTACGAGAGGGCTCCGGCCAGGATGGTGAGGGGCTTGGCTTCCACACAGGCGGTGAACAGTTGTGAGCGGCTCTCAGGACTGCAAGGGTCCCAGGACTGATGCAGCCGTGGTAACCACACCTCCCAACCCTTCAGGGCCCTCCAATCAGGGTCAGCCAGTCACCAGCCTAGGACTTCTCAGAATGCACCTGCCCTGGGGAACATCCTCTCCACAGTCACCTAGCCCCAGCACAGGGCTGAGGACACAGTGCCTCCCAGGGTCTGCCTGCAGGCTCTACTCCCTTGCACATATCAGGAAGTGTGGCTTACCTTCCACGGTGTGCCACCCCCTGTCACGTACAGGAAGTTTCTGACCCTCTGGGGCTTTGGCTTGCCCCACCCTAACGAAGGCCTCACACCCTCACATGAAGAGGTCTCCTGGCACTTGGTCACCAAGGATAACAGCCCATCTCTACACTCCAATATGCTCAAGAGAGGTCAATTGGGAAAAAGCTTCCCACAGGAGTTGGCGTTCTGGGACTTAAAGGGCAGGAGACCGCCAAGTGCTTCTTAGGTAACAGGAGAGAGGACCTGCCCCACTGGGGCATGGGAGAAAGCAGTGAACGCGGACGAGTCCCTGCCACAGCATCCTGGAGAGGCCCTCATCTGCACATGGGAGGGCTGGGTTCGGGTCGGGGTGCCAGTAGGAAGGAACAACACAAACCATGCCCTCCATCCTCCACTTGCTGGCAGAGGGGCTGTCCCCTGCTGGCCTGTGCCTCTTCTCTATGGTGCCCCCACACCTGCTCTGTACAGGAGGAACTGAGCCAAGGACGTGGGCCGTCTCCCCTCCAGGACGCCTGAGGATCAGGGATGGGGCAGGCCAGAGCCAAAGCTACAACCCTCTTCTGAAGGTCTGATGGCAAAGTTCCGGCAGGTTCTATGGGTTCTGGGAGAGCAGCAATGGCTGTCTGCCTGGGAGGGGTGGCCCACATGCAGGGCAAAGGCCACCAGCTCAGCAGGGCTGTCCTCATGCACACGGTTCATTTGGTCTCCAATGTCGAGTGTTCCTGGAGAGATGGGCTGCATGGGGACAATCTGCAGCCCCAAGCTGGGGTCCACCCTGAACTCTGCAGCATGGGGCTCTTGACCCCAACACTCCCCCCAGGAGGCCAGCTGGATGGCATGACCTGGGTAGGGAGGCATGGCAGTGTCTGCCTGCTGGCAGACCTGAGAGCCACGCTCACACCCATTTCCCACACTTCCGGCAGATCGTCCCCGTCCAGCCCGTCTCACCAGGAACACTCAATGTTGGACACCAAATAAACCGTGTGGATGAGGACAGCCCTGCTGAGCTGGTGGCCTTTGCCTGGTAAGTCTGGGCCATGGTGAGAGGATGCTAAGTGGGGAGGGATGCAGACGCCAGGTAAGCAGCTCTCCACTGTGGCGCAACCCTCCCATCCCTCACCCTAGCCCATGTGGGACGGGATGGAGACAGAGAGGCGACGCACACACACCCTCACTGCAGCGGCCCTGACAGGCTCAGGTCTAGCAGCTTCCGCTGCCTGGAAGCACCTGGCCACAGCCCCCAGAAGCCCATGGGCGGTGGGTAGAAGGGGCAAAGTGGGGAGGAAGTTCTGCCTGCACAGGCCTGGGAACAAACAGCAAAACGGCAAAACTGCTGGCAGGGCCAGGCGCCAATCGGGGTGCCAGTAGGAAGGAACAACACAAACCATGCCCTCCATCCTCCACTTGCTGGCAGAGGGGCTGTCCCCTGCTGGCCTGTGCCTCTTCTCTATGGTGCCCCCACACCTGCTCTGTACAGGAGGAACTGAGCCAAGGACGTGGGCCGTCTCCCCTCCAGGACGCCTGAGGATCAGGGATGGGGCAGGCCAGAGCCAAAGCTACAACCCTCTTCTGAAGGTCTGATGGCAAAGTTCCGGCAGGTTCTATGGGTTCTGGGAGAGCAGCAATGGCTGTCTGCCTGGGAGGGGTGGCCCACATGCAGGGCAAAGGCCACCAGCTCAGCAGGGCTGTCCTCATGCACACGGTTCATTTGGTCTCCAATGTCGAGTGTTCCTGGAGAGATGGGCTGCATGGGGACAATCTGCAGCCCCAAGCTGGGGTCCACCCTGAACTCTGCAGCATGGGGCTCTTGACCCCAACACTCCCCCCAGGAGGCCAGCTGGATGGCATGACCTGGGTAGGGAGGCATGGCAGTGTCTGCCTGCTGGCAGACCTGAGAGCCACGCTCACACCCATTTCCCACACTTCCGGCAGATCGTCCCCGTCCAGCCCGTCTCACCAGGAACACTCAATGTTGGACACCAAATAAACCGTGTGGATGAGGACAGCCCTGCTGAGCTGGTGGCCTTTGCCTGGTAAGTCTGGGCCATGGTGAGAGGATGCTAAGTGGGGAGGGATGCAGACGCCAGGTAAGCAGCTCTCCACTGTGGCGCAACCCTCCCATCCCTCACCCTAGCCCATGTGGGACGGGATGGAGACAGAGAGGCGACGCACACACACCCTCACTGCAGCGGCCCTGACAGGCTCAGGTCTAGCAGCTTCCGCTGCCTGGAAGCACCTGGCCACAGCCCCCAGAAGCCCATGGGCGGTGGGTAGAAGGGGCAAAGTGGGGAGGAAGTTCTGCCTGCACAGGCCTGGGAACAAACAGCAAAACGGCAAAACTGCTGGCAGGGCCAGGCGCCATGTCCTGCTCTCCCAGGCCTCCCCTGCCTCAGGCAGCTTCCAGGAAGAGGCCCCACGCCTGGACACCGCCTTCCCTCTCTAGGCCCCGGCCTTGGGCACCCTGCCTGGTGATGCCCCACCAGCTTCCAGGACCCCTCCTCCTCCTTCCCCCATGATCTCACCTTAACACAAAGGAACTGGATGCCCCAGGAGAGTGGAATCCTGGTACCCAGCCCCACCCATCATCTCTTCCACTTCACCAACTGTTGGGGGGGGGGACATGGCCTAGTGGGGGTTACTACCAAGGTGGTCTCCCAGGACTCAGTGGCTACAGCCACACACATGCAGGATGGACCCCAGTCTGGGCTACTCAGGCCAGCCGCGTGAGCCTCACCCGGCCCCCTCTGATTCACTCCATGACCGCCTCCAGGCGGACTCTACTCTCAGAGCTCCTTCTAGCGCCCCTTCACACTGAGTCCCGGCTGTTCTTGCGTGGTGCTCACTGGTGCTGGTGAGGGCCAGGTGAGCGCCCACTGGACACAGTGCCAGATGAGCATCTAGTGGATCCCAGATCTCATTACACTTGGGGTGAAAATGCATCACCACACTAGTCCCAGAGGCCTGAGACCCAGTGAGGCTTCCACATGAACAGCTAATGGGTCCTGGCCCAACTCTGAGCATTATGGCTAGTTAAGGGGCCATCCGCACTCTAGCAGGGCCAGCAGGGGTCAGGTTAGACCTTCCAGGTAGCAGGAACTGCCTGGGCCACAGAACAAAGGAGTGTGTGTGGGCATGCAGAGTGTCACTCAGGGCTTAGCAGTGCTGGGGTCCCATGCCCCACCTGCCTGCCCCCAGCCCAGGGTTTCCTTGCAGGGGTGCAGCCCAGAATGCTCTGATTGCTAGGTCATCCGGGAGAGACCACTGAAGACAATTTCTGCCCTCTTCCCAGGGTAGCAGTCAACAAAGGGCAAGGGCAGAGCCTTAAAAATGTCCACTGAGCTCTCGAGAACATCTCATGTGAGCAACCTCCTAAATACTCTGCCCCAAACAACACGTGCTCTCTCCAGAGGCCACCTTGCAAGGAGCTGAGGTCACAGAAGGCAGGCAACAGACCTCCACTCTCTCAGTGTCCACCCCGTGGGGCTGCTGGCCACAGTGCCTCCCTCCCATAGTTGCTGCAGCACCTGGCATCTCTGAGGAGTGGGCAGGGAGGAGCCTGCCCTTCCGGGGATCTGCTCGGCCTCATTTGGCCAGTAACCGGTAGTCCATGTGCCAGCAGATACCTCCCTCCTTCTGCCTTGGAAGACCTGGGTTCCAGCTGGGGTGCGATGTGCAGTCTGACATGGTGAGGGAAGGAGGGCAAAGCCCCACTGCAGGTGCCACCTCTGCTGGGTGGCACCAGACTGTAAGCCCTTGGGGGCATGGATGCCCAAAGCCTGTCAAGAACACTGGGGCAGCCTGGTGGTGATCCCCAGGGGACCTAGAGCTGCATAATGAGGGAGACAGAGCACCTTCTGTCTGGGCACTGACTCTGCAGGTCTCCACCCCTTCCGGAGCTTCCTCAGTACAGTCCCCTAGTCTCGTGGATTAGGGACTTCAGAGGGGGAGGCCTTGGGGCAGTGAGGAAGGGACAAACTGCCAGCTGTCAGGTCCTCCCGCCATTCCTTATAGCTGGGAGGCCTCAGCCGCCTGCTAAAAGTTCCATCAAATGCAGAGTTAGCGGCCCAGGGCAAAGCCGAACCCGTCGGTGGAAGGGGAGGTAAAGCTGGGAAAGGAGGAATGAGGGGCGCCAGATACAAGCACAAAGGCCACGGGCCGTAACCCCCCAGACCCCACCTGCCAGAAAAGGGGGTCCCGGAGTGTGGAGAAGACAGCGAGCTGGACTGTGCTCCCAACCACCCCTGGGAGGCACAGGAGGGGCCCCCAAACTGGCAACAGAGGAGCCCAGCGCAGGCAGGCAACGCGGGCTCGGGCTCTCCGTGGGCCCTCAGTTTCCCCAGCGGTGAGCCCAGCTTGTCTCCAGCGGGGAGAGTGAGATGTGGGGGGCCTCCTGGAGTCTTGCAGAACGCTCGGACGCGAGAAGCCAGAGCCGGCGCCACAGACCCGCGCCAGCCGGCGGCAGATGGCGGGAGGCAGAGGCCCGGATTCTGGGGCCCCTCTTCCCCGCGCCCCAGCCGCCCCGGGTGGCGCGCTCACCTTGCGGACGCTGCTAGCCGCCTGCAGCCGCGCGCTCTCCTCGCCGGCGCCCGGACCGTCAGGCCTCTCCTCGGGGATCATCGCCGCCGCCGCTCGGGCCGCGCCAGGTCCAACACCGTCGTCTCCTACGGGTCCAGGTCCCTCCGGGAGGCGCGCGGGGTCCCGCACTGTCCTCTCCACTGCGGCGCGGGCCGGCTGGAGGGGCGTGGCGCCGGGTGCTGAGCGTGCGAAACTTGCCGCTGCCCAATCGGCAGCGGCGGCGACTCAGACCGACAGCAGCCTCGCCCAACCAGAGCGGGAGAGAGGCGGGCTCCGGGCCAGGCCACACACCCCCAACCTGCGCGCGCCCAGTCCTGGGGGAATGCGGTCACCCCTGGCAACCGCCGGGCCCGACGCGGGCGGCCGAGTAGGGCGCGATCTGCGCGTGCGCCCCTGTGGCCGCCCGCGGGGTGCGCGGAAAAGTTAGGGAAAAAGGAAAGAAACAGGCGAGATATGAAACTCCCAAAGGTGTCCGCGGGGAACGTCGCGGCCCAGGCGGCTCCGCAGGTTCGCTGCTCGCGGGTCCTTCCCGTCGCGGCAGCAGGGCCTCCCAGGGCTTGTCCGAAAACTTTCGCAAGGGGTCCTGACGGTTCTACTGGAGCGAGCGCTGGTGCGATGCCCGCTTCGTTGTCCCTGGGAACCCGGGCTCTGCCTGGCGTCAGTCCAGGCGCCGTCGGTGCGCGGCCCGACCTTTGCCTGCGCTACCCGCTTCCAGAACCTTCCTCCGCTCCCGGAGCCGCCCACAGACCTTTCTTTCTCGTCTTTCCACAACCTACTTCGAGGGCCCGCTTGCTTCCCCAGAACCTGCTGCCATCTCACGTGCCTCATCCAGGTTCTTTCATAACCGCCTGGGCGCCCGGTGACTTGGGGACCCTCTCACCTAAGGGTCCTAGGCTCACCTCACCAAAGAAAGCAGCTTTGCGTGGCAGGGACAGCAGAGCATAAGCAGTGAGCACGCTGATGTCGCCCACCCTAGTCAGCCCCTGTGGGCAGCCCCCGTGGGCACTGCATGCCTGGCACGGAGCCCTAGGCTCACTCCCCAACACATGCGCCCAGAGTTAAATCCCATGAGCTAAGCTCCTTGGCCTGCCCTAGCCATCTGCAATAACAGCAAAACGAGACAATAACTCCAGGAAAACAAAGTAATCATAGAATATTCCCTGACTCAGCTGTGCATGTCTTTCTAATGGCCATACTAATGTGATCAAGATGTCCTGGCATCCTGACCCCAGGACAGTTTTAAGTGATTCTGTTAGAAGGAGAAAAGAGGTGAAGGGTGAGGGAGACAGCAGAGCCAGGAAGGGATGCTGAAGCTTCATCCTCCCAAGGCTAAGTCAACACTAAGCCTAAATTAGAAAATAAAATTCCAGAAGCAGAAGCATGTTATTCATAATTGTGGAATTCAATATCAAATCATCAGCTCAAGGAGTTGCCCCTGAGCAGGGGTGGGAGGGCACTGAGGCAGGCTGCTGTTTCACTGAGCAGATCCTGTAGAACTAGGTGGTTTGAGAAACTAGAATCTTCCATAACAAGGCAAACCCAAAGCTTGTTTTTTAAAGATGGGATGTGTATAACTTGATAACAAAAAGCACCCAAAATAAAACCACCATCTGGAGGAGATAATTCTAAATTAGCTTTGAATCAAAAGAAAGTTAAAACAACTGCACATTACCTAAAATGTGATCAGAAAGTAACATTTTCATAAAATGTATGGAATAAGCCAGAGGACATTCTGTGACCTTAGGTAAGTTCATTGCTGAAACAGAGCACATACATAAAAATAAATCAACCAAATCAAAAGAAAGGAGGAAGAGGAAGATAAAAGCTGGTGTCAGTTACATGGTGGGTTTGGGGAAAAAAATCAAGTTAATCAATCCTTGAGATGTCCAATCAGGGAAGCAAGATTGCATCAGCTGGGATCCACCTCTGCCTTCAATAAGCTGGGTGGACACAGTGACTGAACCACAGACATGAGATGTTTATCATTCTTCCCCAGGCCACCACTCAGAAGTGGACCATGGAGACTGGGCTGATGCCACAGGGGTGTCCACCACGAGCTTTCACTCTCACCGTGTAAATGCATTTACTCTTGCTCTGGGATCATTTCTGTATTCCAGGGAGGAAAGGAGGAAATAAGCTTCAGCAAGGAAAGCTAAATGTCCCCTGGCCCCGAGCCCCTGGACCTTTGTCACAGGCATGCATGGCTGTGGGGGAGGCAGGGAGCACACTGTTTTAGCTGGACATTGTTGTCCCAAACACAGTCCAGGCTCTGTCAGTCTGGAAAATGAGAATGGGTTTGGACAGACTGCAAGGAGTGGTTGCATCCAAGGGAAAACAGAAATATGCAGCACAGTGGAAGGAAAAAGCGCAGAGCCATGAGGGACATTTTCCAGCCGTAAGAGAACATGATGAAAGTGAGCTGGGAGGTCGAGAAAAAAGTGGACAATTCTGTACCAAGGCTTAAGGTCCAAACTAACCCAAGGGAGGGAAAAAACAGAAATAGATGGAGCTGCAGAGGGGTGGTGACACAGTCATGTGGGAAGTTCATCTAACCTCAAAGAACAGATGCTTCCTCTGCTAGAGACCATTCCAGCCAGCGGGAGGGATGGAACGCAGCTCACCAGGCTGAGACTGCCAGATCTAATAACGACAAGGCCCAGAGTGCTGTGGACCCGTCTCACCCACAGTCAGGAATGGCAGACCCTGTTGGCGGCCCAGCCCTGCCCACTTGGCCTGCTCCTGTCATTCCAGAATCCTGTTTGGTTCGTGTGTGCCCTCAGTGAAACCGCATGCTCCAGGAAAGGATGGCTGGTCTCAGCCCCAGCAGGTGTAGATGACCAGTGCATAACCAGAGGGTGTTGGAACCATGTGGTGGTCACTATGTGTCAGAAGCTGGGGATGTTAAGTGCCCTGCAGTGCTGGGGCATGCCTGCACTAAGGCACTGTGCCCTTCCAACACCAGTAGGACAGTGATCTAGAGCAGTCAGCTTAGTTCCATTCCTCTGGCAGTGAGTAACTGCCATACATGGGCTTAGCCAGTTGGACAAGAGGGGAATCTTCAGGAGGCCCCTGGGAGAGTTCCACAAGGGGAAACTGTCTCTCCCCTGCCTCTGAACGCTGTCATGACTGGGCCTGACACTAAGGTCTGTGTAGCTGTCTTGTGACTTCAGGGGAGCCATAGATATTCTAGGGGTGGCAGAGGACCCTGGCTCTGCTCCTCCTCTGACTTCTCGTTTGGTGAGCTGACAAGTCTTTCCCTCTCAGGTTGGGTTTCTGATACTTGAAGCCAAAAGTGTCCCATCACAGGACAGATATGCCACTGGAGTGGAAACTGCAGCAAATCAATCTAGCAGGGCATTAAAGCATGACCTGCTGACCCACAGCAATCATCCATCATGAAGGTGACCTCACAGTACAGTAACAAGGGAAAAGCTGGGCAGTGATCTTCAAGTGGCCCCAAAGCACCCGAACAATTCAGCCACTTTCTATGAAAAACTCTAAGTAAAACAGAAACAGAGGAACTAACCTGATAAAAACTATGTTATCAAATACTGATGATGACAATATTGCATATTGAAAACTTAAAACTATTGCCATTTAAATCAGGAATCTTGCACCACTGCTTTTCTTCAGAGTTGTTTTTTAGTTCTCAGTAAGGAAATAATGCAGGAAAACTCAATGTATAGGGGAAAGGAGACAAAATTATATTTATGCTAAGAGGACACGATTGTAGAATTTCAAATTCCAAGAAATTCAACCAAAAACTATTAGAACTATTAGAGAATTTGCTGAGGTAGCTGCTTTTAAGCTAACTACATGTTATGGTCTGAATTGTGCCTCCCAATTCCTATATTGAAGCCCTAATCCCAAAGGGATGGTGTTTGGAGGTGGGGCCTTTGGGAGATAATGAGGGTCAGATGAGATCATGAGGGTGGAGAGATTCTATTTCTAGAAGTAGAAATTGGGAATATTTTCATTCACAAATGTGACAGACTTTAAGATGTCTGGGAAGAAACTGAATAAGAAACATAACATGATCTGTGAGATGTATGCAATTTTATTGAGCAACTTAAAACCAGACTTGAATGTTTGAACATTCCATGCACTTTTATGAAAATATGTGACTGTTATAAGAATGCCAACCCTCCTTAAAGGTGGCTTAAAGATTTCAGGGTGAACAAGAAAACTACTAAAAATATTAGAAGAAATAAGAGATAATTGTTATTACCTCAGGGTTAAAGGCATATCTTATATTGAAAAAGAAAGTCCAGTTACCATAAAGGAAGAGATTTGAGGGTTTTAACATGTGAAATGTAATATTTCTATATAGCAAAAGATATCAGGAACAAGTCAAAAGATAAAAAGAGATTTAAAAAATTGCAACATATGTGGCAAATGAGGAGTGAACATTCCAAATAAAAGAGCTCCCCAAAATTGATTAAAAAGTAGTCGAAGGAAACAATAGACAAAACGAGGCAAGGACATGTGTCAGTCTATGTCCAGCCAGGAGAGGTGACACCACCCCAGGTATTTCAAAAAGGGGATTGAGTACATGAGTTGGCATGAAACATGGGAGGGTTTGGAGGAGCACAGGCAGAGGGTGAGGTGGCCCAGAGCCCACCAGGCTGGGCTCCAGCCAATGCTGCAAAGTCTAGAAGTTCTCACTGGGCCACATCCGGCAGTGACCTAGCCTCCCCCTGCCAGCCCTCCTGTGCGTGTCTCCCTGGAACACAGTTGGCAGGGTGTCTGGGAAAGGCAGTTTTTCTCTGCCAGCTTCTCTGGCAGAGGTGAGTGTAAGTGTGCAGGTATCAGGCTGGGGAACGACAGACGCTGCTATCCCGCCCAGCATATAAACCACGAGGCCCGTGGCAATGTGCCTGCGCACTAGGAGTCAGGGAGAGGCAATCTGACATCAGGTCACCAGATGTTCGAAAGGTTAAGAACATGCGCTGCTGGCAGGGATGCAGGAAACAGGTCATCTGAGGTGGACACTAGGAAAGTCATCTGGAAGAAGCTGTCAAAGTCCAAAACGTGTACTCTTTGCGTCAGTGAACTTGCTTTCAGGAACCAGGCCTTCTGAAGTAAAAATGTCAGAATCAATACGAAAACAAGACAAAATAAACCTGTATACAGCCCCAGTGCTCCCTCACAGAGGTCTGGACAAATCCACAATGGCATTTCTGTGCTGTGGGTGAAAATGAAGTCACTTTAGAATTAGAGCCATACGTAATGATCTAAAATGAAGTCCATGTCATATTGTTAAGTGCATAAACCAAACTGAAGAATAACATGCGTGTGGAAAAAACTCCCATCTTGGTATTTTAAAAAGCAAGACAAGCAGGAGAACTCTGAATGCACCTACTCGTTTGTGACTGTGGACGTGCAGGCTGAGCTGGCCAGCGCCACCCGGGCCTGACTCCCCAGGCCTGAGGGTGGGGGACACACTCTTCTGCCACTAGATTTGTCGCAGCAAGAATGTACTGCTGCGCTTTTGAAGTTAAAATAAATTCCAGGAGATGTGAGAGAATGATCAGAGAGGAAGAGGAGGAGAATTGCTGTGAAAAGGCAGGTAAATGGGACACCAGCTGGAGGGGGAGCAGGCTGAGAGGCGGAGGGCAGAGGGCAGAGGGCGGCTGTCTCATGCCTTTATACAAACCAGGGATGTGAATACCAGCCAGATAGGCTCCTCATGGGAACGTGAACATCCGGCTTTGCAAGGCAGAGGTCCCCTGGGCTCCTTTCTGAGCCTCTGTGAGTGCAGGAGGAGGACTTGGCTGTCAGAGGCTCAGTGACGGCTGCCCATGACCTCCCAGTGTCCAGC